AGGGAAAGAAATTGAGACAAAAAGTTACAAAAATTAAATAATATTTTAAATATAAATTTTGTATATATTTTATTTTTATTAAATATCTGTCTAAGCGAAAATAATAACGTAAGTTCTCAAAGATTATTTTGTATTTGTAAATTTTATATTTAAAATATTTTTGTAAATTGTGTATTTAAAGTATTAATTAAAATGTATAAATATATTGGATCTATTAAAATATTTGAAATATTTAAAAACAATTCTTACGGAGATTGTAATGCAGCGATTAAAGAGACAAGCCGCCCAGCATCCGAAAAGTCCAGTAATAGCAATAAGAAATCCTAATGAAACTATAGCGAAAGCCAAATAATAAAAAAGCGGTTGATCAGGGTGAATATCACCAGGTCCTAACAGGCGCGATAATAAAATCCGTTCACTGTCGGCTAATAATAATCCTCCTAGGGACATCAGCACGAAACCCGACATCTGAAGGAAGAGAGAAACAATTAATAATCTTTCACAAGTTACACTGATTTGATAAACAGTTTTAAATTATTAAAACGACACATATCGATACAGTTCACATCATGTCCCTGGTGGAAAAATTTCGCTGAAATTATTTCACGTTTTGGAACACTTTTCGACAAAATTTCAGCATTTCAGAAAAATTTTAGTTTAATTTCAGCGATTTTTAGTTAAAAAATTCATTTTTAGCACAATTTCAGCAGAATTTCAGAAAAATTTCAGCAAAAATTTTAGAGAAATTTCAACAAAATTTCAAAGAAATTTCAGAGTAATTTCAGTTCAGTTCCAATGATTTTTTAGTAAGTTACTTGAAAAATTCACTTTCAGTGAAATTTCAGTAAATTTTCAGCAATTTTGCTAAAATGTTCCAAAACGTGGAATAATTTCAACGAAATTTTTTTCACCAGGGGGTTAGTATATTATATTATATCCAACATAGTATTTCATATATTACTCCTTTACTTCAGAAATGTATGATATAAATGTCTCTATTAATCAAGAGTAATAGATTGACTAGAAAAGACAGATTTAAGATTTAAATTAAAGCTGCGTCTGAAACAAATAACTCACCAAGAAAATTATATTCGAGCAACAAACAAAAGCACGCGATATGGCTAATTTTCTAGTTCCCATCGTTATGTCCAAAATCCTTGCTTCTTAATAACAATGAGCGATATGCAGATGACTTTTGGGTCACATAAAATTTCGACGATCGCATTCGGCGCACATAATAAAATTGCACGATTAAATCATTTGATTATTCAAGTTACACTATGTACAATATTACAACTAGATATTCGAGGTGAACCCGATCGCGTATGTTTATGGACTGAAAACCCCCCATATGCTGGTGGATGGACTTCACAACAGCATCGGGGGTCTGTAGGCGCGCTTGCGTGCCCTCATGCGCGACCGACCGGACGGAACCGGAAGGAAGTAGAAAGGTGTGGATGAAAAAAGACCGGAGGGGGAACGAAAAATTTATATACACACACATACGCATACATGGACATTTGCATCGTCGATCGGTTCGTATATGATTCAAGTCGGCGAAGGTTCACGGTAAAGGGGGAATATTTAAATGATTGAAACCATTTCATGCTTTAGTACACATGTTAATTTTTATTTAAATTCATAAATTATTATTTAACATTTCAGCTAAATATTAACATTGTGTCATGTATTGAAGTTTTTTTTCCAATTCTTTCATAGAAATATTTATTTGTAATTATAAATTAAAAATATTAAATAATATATAATTACAAAAAAAAGTATTTTCAATTCATCAAGAAACGTTAGAATATTATTATGAAAATTTCATTTCTCTTATATAGATTAATTATACATATATATAGTAAGATTAATCTGGAGATTCCATACTCATAGGATTCTCCCATCAAAAATTGTATTTCTTCGGTGTAAATGAACTTGTAGATTGAGTCCATATACAACGCAGCACAGTAAAAGGATATTTCATGCGCATTATTGTAAGTGTTCACGAAGCCTATCTCCTCTTCTCTACATTAATTCAGCCGCCACACCATGCACTTCCCGTTAAACGGGATAGGCGTGACCTAAACGTACGTAAAAATTCTGGTTTAACACTTGCTTGTTAAGAAGTGAAATCACAAACTATAATATATATCTTGAGAAATAGTGGATTTAGAATATCTTATGAAGGATAAGGCAAATATATAATATGTAGAGTATAAGGATTAATAATTGAAAACTTTTAACAAAATAAATATTTAATTTGTTAATAAAAAATATATATTAAAATTATCATATTTAATAATTTTTAATAATTTTAAATTCATAAATCTAAAAATCAAGTGCACTTTTATGAGATCCACTCGCGCATCCAATGCCGGGTGCTACTGTGTCATCTTGCTCTCGTTGAGATGTATCTTCGAACTCGGGTGGCAAATGTAAAACCTAAAAACAAACAAATAATATAAAAATTTATGACACAATACTAATTTGAGAAACAAAACAAAACATCAAAATCTACTAACTTCTATAAGAAACTTTTTACGGCGTAATTTAAATGCTAGATCTCTGTGTTGTGAACTGCCGTGTGACAAACCATTTAATGCACACAATTTCTTAATGTGCAACAGACCATGATACTCTTTATACAATGGATTAAGCGCTTTTGCAGATCCTGCAAACGATTCCAATCCAATTGCTATATCCGATAAATGCTCAATTCTTTCGATAACGAAATTCTAAAAAATGTAGGCTGTAAGAAGAACGGTCGCTGTAAAGAGAATAATTTTTCGATACTTACGCTATTGAAATTATTAACTGGTACTGTTACTACGCCGACTGCGTAGGAATTCCTTAAAAGTGCTCTGAAGCAATATAGGAATTTTAATAGATCACAATCAGAATATTTTTCTGTGTCACTAAGCCATAATCTTGATCCTAAAGAATGAATTGCGATTCTTAAAATTTTCTTTGTTTTCTGTTCTGTTTTAGAGAGAAAATATTGTCCATCGCGTAAAGTTTTTTCTACAGTACATAATAAGTCAGTATATGCAGCATTCTTAAATGTACTATTTTCATCTAGTGTCATTTCTTCATTAAATTCCCATTGTTTTATATCAGCATGATCTAAGAAATCCTTTTGCATCTGCTTTGTGAGATCATAATAATGACCAAATGTTTGACCTCCCGTAGGAGTTGAATCTACTATTTTCATATTTTGATATCGCCAAGCTATTTTCATTGGCTCCTCTTCATTATTTGTAGTTTTTGTATGTTCCTCTGAATTATTTATAACTGCGGGCAATCCCGATACAAACTTAGAAGATTGGACATCTTGAGACGCAATTAGTACAGATTGAGACACAACTATTCCCTCTGCCATAAAGTATTTCAATACAGTTTTGGCGTAAAAACCATACTTGTCTTCCTCTGAAAATAAATATTTCTTTAAACATATACATAAATAAATGTTTTATTACCCCTTTAGGCTCTGCATACATTATAATGTACATCGAAAATTTAAAGATATTATCTGTAGAAATTATTTAATTCTACATCATCTAAAATCTGATGTACAATAATGTATACGTTGGAAAAATAATCAAAATAAAAAAATTAATTATTTTAATACGAATTACTCAAAGTGCGCATAAATTGAATTTAACAAAGAAAATTTTTAACATGGTTCTATAAAATTAGGTGTGAAAGAGTTAAATATACACTACCGCTTATAATTGTTTGAACGACAGATATTTTATATTTCACTTCAATTTTGAAAGCTAAGTAAATATCTCTTTATCTCTCCTATACTGTTAACAAATTATGGATTTTTATTCATAATTATAATAGGTTGTAGTAGAAAAATAAAATGATAGGAAATATCCAATATAATATCAATTCAAGAATGGTTAGAGATGGAGTTTCGTTAACAATGTTTTAATAATTTAAATTTAGAATATAAATAGAAGTTTAGATTATTTAAACTTACAATAACAGTCAATATACATACAACAAAAATAGCAATTATTTTAATACAATCATTTTAATAAAATATTATCTGTATTAACAACAGTGGGACACATAATTTACTTAGCTTTTAAAATCAGAGTAAAGTACAAACTATCTGTTGAATAATTATAAGCGATAGTGTATGTATATGGGTATCCTGTTATTAGTATTTAATCTTTCGAAAGAAGAGAAGATCCTTTGAAGGCTGGATAATTAATTTATATTTTATTAAAGAGTCAAAAAGTCGTTCCATTTATCAATATGGTATATAAACTATAGTAGTAATAAAAAAAGCATCACTTTTAAATTTTTTACTTTCTTGCAAAAAAAGATGTATAAATAATTCTCCAAAACTAATTACAATATCCATCAAGTCTTGAATGACTCAGCCATTGTTAGTTACCATTGAAGAAACATAAGTATACAAATATACATACGAATTAAAAATATCGAGCCAATAGGTAAACCTCCGCCTATTGTACTATCTAAAGAAGGTATTCCTGTTGAAATAAGCAACTGTGAATTTCGTAACGAAGGTCTCGTGCCTGGTATTATTGGAAGTCTGGTTTTAAATCTTGTTCCACTTGAAGTCATTGCTTTTCCTTCTTAAGCCATCCAGTGGATATCTGAAATATAATTTTAAAAAGTATTTGAATATTGCAATCTGAAACTGTTTGTGAAAGCTTATTTAGATAATATAAAAAGTAAAATATTTGCAAGTAAATGTCACAGTGAGTCTTCTTCGATGTTTATTGTATGGTCATAAAAAAATTAGACTGATGATAAAATATACATTTTTGTGAAATGTATCTTATTAGCTTTAAAAAATAAAATAAATAATTTGTTTGCTGGGAATAAAATTTTATTTTGCCTTATTTAAATAAGAATTTGTTTCATTAAAAATAAGCATTATATCCTATAAATAAATTTTTAAATATCTTTTCTTGGTGCATACTGGAAATATTTAATATGTCATATTAAAATTCTTTTCTACTCGTTAAGTACTTGATTAAAATAAATGTAATAAAAGTCTAAGACAAAATGGTTTATTTATCGATATATTTTAAGAAACTTTGTGATATATATGTCAAACTACATCAAACTTGTTTCACTTCTGAATCCATAGAACTTATTTAATTTTGCATCCATATAGATTATTTTACACCTGTAATAGGTCGCTTTCCATTTTCACACAAGTGATGCCGAATCTAAAATATGTATTTTATACTCAGATAATGACGTCATTACTTGCTTATTCTTGCATACCTTGGTAATAGTTATCGCATAACAACTGATAACGTAGGTTTACAACCTAACCTCACTTTTAATGTGAGTTAATAAGATTCGCGCGGTAAAGCACACGGTCTTGAGTTTGTGTAAATCGTAGGTAAAAGCTCAGTTAAATCTCACTTGTATCAAAAAAGGAAAGTACATACATTTAATTGACGTCACAAATGGGAATTATCTGAATTTTGGTGTAAATGGAAAGCAACTAAATGTCGAACCTAATTTTGCTAAGCAAAACACTTGCTTCAACCAGAATTTTTCGAAACAGTCTAAATTTTAATTCAGAGCATTCCAAAATTTTTTTTGTAATATGTTCTTGGAGATTTATAAGCACAAAATTTGACTTTATTATGGCAAAAATTCGGAGGGATTAAATTGGAGTAAATCCATCAAAACCGCGCAGTACCGTAATGGCGTAATTAGAGCTTGTCACGTTTGCCACGTGCACAAGATTCTGACAAGCTTTGAAGATCCTTGATCGACCGAGGTTTGTGCTTCTCTCTTTACGACGTTGAAAGGATCAATCTTTCCTAAAAACGATTACGCCTGGTAGTTTCAATCAAGTCGTACTTCACACCGGACAAACGTTCGAGACGCAACTTGTCGCATGCCGGCTCGTGCTTTTAGCTTTCTTTCCTCGGTGTAACACCTGTAGCACTCACGAGTCGCAAATTATAAGTATGGAAAATAGTTTGAAAAAGCTCGCGAGTTTCTTCGAGTTTCTTATAACGTGTGTATATACATTCCGTTCTTGATAACGGAGCAGGAATCTTTCGGAGCCGTTCTCGACGCGATTCTTGCGATTCTGCCCACCATGATCGACGCACCAGCACTCGTGGTATCCATGGTAGTACCGATGTTCGCCGAACGTTGACGCCACGTTGGACGAAGCCGATCGGAGGTCGACGGTTTCTGACGGTTTCTCGCGTCACCACCGGAGCGCGGCCGCGTCGCGGCGGCAGTAATTACGGTTCGCCGTTTGAACGGGATGCATGTTCGTCCCGTTCTGCCCTACGCGCAGTTCAGTTAATGGCATCGTGCGCTCGCTAGGAGCCGATCCGATTAAGCGCCTGACGTTTCATCGCCGGGTGCGATCGCGCGCGAGCATCCGCGTGACAGAGAGACGAGGAAGCGGAGAGAAACAGAGCGAGAGAAAGCGAGAGACAGAGAGAGAGAGAGAGAGAGAGAGAGAGAGAGAGAGAGAGAGAGAGGGGAAGGTAAAGAAGAATCATCTCTCGCGTCGTCGCGCCGCGACAGCGGATGGGACACGCGACCGTATGCGGGCGCGCGTGCGTGAATGTATGCGCGAATCGAAGGAAAGTGAGGTTATGCAATTGTTTGGTACGATTGTACGCGCGCTCGATGCCGACGCTCGATGACATGTGATTCATCGCGACGGTCAAACCGGGTCGAGTCCCGGAGTGTCGGCGCAGTGAACGAACGTCTGCGCGCCGCGCACGGTCCAGACGCTCGCGTTGCGCATCGAGTTGAAGTTGCGCGCGGATCGGACCCAACGTCAGATCGTTCGCGCGTTCGAGGACCGTTTAATCGCGAAGCGTGCTCGCGGCGATCTTCGTTTCGAAATGTCGGAAATCGGAGCGATCTCGAGGTAGTTATCTTCAAGAACGCGAGACTTTCAGTGCGAGAGGTAAAAGACACGACGATGGAGTGCGAAGACGCGCGGGAAAGAAGATTTTAAATTGTCCGAGAGAAAGAGACGAATTTGTGTCGTACGCGCGCGCGCGCGCGCGCGTGCGAGTACGAGTGGTGGACTCGGAGGCTCCGGCGAATGCGCGCAAGAGGAACTCGTGCCGAGCGTTGAAACCACTCTTCCCTTTCTCCCCACCCTGGCTACCGACTCCTCGCGCCCCTCTCACCGACTTCTCCGTCGTCCTCTCTCTCCTTGGCTCGCGCGCACGCCTTCGTCGTTCGTCCCCTCGACCCGCCAGCGTCGCCGAGCATCGCCGACGCGTGTTCCCGTCTCGGTCCGTCCGGCGTCTCCCTTCCGCGCACCGGTGTGCCGTTTGACGACCTCTCGCTCCCACCCGCTCTCTTTTCTTCTCTTTCTCCAGACAAGCGGCAGCACGCTGCCCTCGCTCAACTACCTGTTGTGACGTCCAGCGCGCTCGCGACGCACCGGGCAAATTCGCCGTAAATACCCAGCGTCGATCCCTTCCGACCAACGACGATCATTCCACGTTAAACGCAATCAATCGCGGAGAGACCGTGCACGAACTATCTCTCGTCAGGGAAGTTTTCGTCGAGAAAGAGAGATTCGTGCCGCGAACGGTCACCGCGGGTGAAGGAGCCAAGGAGGTACCCGATTGTGAAACCGCGAAAGTCGCTTGGGTGTCGCGGTTCTGTTCCCCCTTCCACTCGGCATCGCCGCGACGAGAGTAACGCGAGGAAGCGTGAGGCGGAGCGAGACGGTGAGAGAATGAGAGAGAGAGCGAAGAGGACAGCACGCGTTCGTAAGATGGAGAGAGAAGGAGTGCGCGAGAGAAAGGACTCGAGCGGGCTCTTATCGTCAAGTTAGTCGCGCGCGGCGAACCTTCCGTCCCACCGTCGTCGAATCTTCCGTTGCGCGCGTTGCCGAGAGTGACAGTCGCGAACCCCGTGACCCGAGTTGCCAGAGCTCCGCTCGAGTATCGGGACTGTTGGACGTTTTCCGCCTCCCTTCGGTGAGGGTGAAGGCAATCTAATCTATCTAGTGTTTTCGATTGGAATCGTGAATCATTGCCGTGAACGCTGTAGACGTAACTATAAATGTGACTAAACATACAGTAGCCGCGTACGAGGTGTTCGGGGATTGTCGTGATCGTGCGGTGTTTTGTTTGGTATCTACAGGGAAGAGCAGACCGAAGAGAGAGAGAGAGAGAGAGAGAGAGAGAGAGAAAGAGAAAGCGGGCCGTGCGACGACGCGCGCACTATCGCCCGCGCGGTCACGTGGATCGGGAAACAAAAGGCGGAACGCGACCGTGTTCATTGATGACGAGTCCGTCGCGTCGATGCCGTGCGCGCCGCGCCGGTGGCATCGCGTTACGTTAGCTCTCAAGTTGGCGCGCTCCGCATCGTATATATGCGCGCGCGCGCGCAACCTCGACTCCGGAATCTCCGGTCGTAACGCCGCGAATTGAATCGTTCGCGAAACAGCGGCAGGAGCATCTGTGGTAATTTTGCGTCGCAACAAGTGCCTATGAGAGACAAGGGAAGAGACAGTCTTACCGTCTACTTGATAAAACGAGAGTATACGTCGTTCTCGCGAGAAGCGTGCGAAGCCTTTGGTGGACCGTAGGTTGCCGTACGTGTCGATCTTGACCGCGGTCAAGCCCCGCGAGAGCGTGACACCGCCGCTCGGCCAGATGCTCCCCTGCGCTCGGAAGTCAGGCACGATCGTCGGCACGCCAGTGGGGTGGATGCGGAGGATGCGCGTCACGCAAACAACGGTGAAGCCGATGGTAGAGGACGACGCGCGGTCGGCATCGCGCGTTACAATCGACCACCTTGGTGGCAATCATTGAGAACTGGCTTATCCTGCGGTGGATTTAGGGGGCTGTATGGAGGCCGGGGGGCTCCTGCCCCGACAGCCCCCGCAAGGCCCCCCCGGCGTCGCCCCCGGCACCATCTCCGTGTGCGCGGGCCAGGGCCCGAACGGGCACGCCGGCAACGTCCTCGGCCAATCCGCGGCCGCGATCCACGAATTAAACGCCGGTCAGCTGGGCATAGCCAGCCAACAGCAATTGCACCTGCAACAGCAGCAGCAACAACAACAGCATCAACAGCAGCAACAGCAGCAAATGGGTCAAGCACCCGGTATGGGTGAGGTACTCACCCCGAAGAGGCAGGCGATCGTAGACCGCCTGCGACGAAGACTCGAGAGTTACCGGCGCAGACAGAACGACTGCATCCCCAGGTTCGATCAGAGTTTCAACGGATTGTGCGAGCAGAACATACAGGACACCTTGGTGCTGAAGCAACGCTTCCTCGAGAGCAAGGCCAAGCGGCAAGCCAAGAAGACGGACAAGAAGCAGAACGATCCGATCGGCCTCTCCAACGTTCACATGGTGAGACTTTTTCATCTCTTTCACTCTCTTGCTGTCTTCTTCGTCCTCTTTTCCTCTACTCTTTCTCTTTTTTCTTTTTCTTCTTCTGCTGCTTCTTCTGCTGCTTCTTCTACTCGGTTTCGTCGTACCGAACAGGCGTAGGTGTGCCTACGCCGCTGTGGGAATTCGAACTTGTTACAAAGTCGGCGTGCCTTCTTCCTTCCTTCCTTCCCCTCTGGGTCTCTTCGTCCGTCCTGGAGATGGAAGCGCGCGCGAGTGACGCTCCTCGCGTTTCGCGGCGAACGAACGTGTCTGATATACATATATTCAGTATATGTTACCTGCGTTCGGAAAGAATCCCGAAATACCCACGAAATTTTGCTACGAGTCTTTCAGCAAGTTACGACATGTGGATGATTCTTTTTTTCTACAAAAATTTGCTCAATATTTTCAAGCGCGCAAGAATGATATTATCCTTCCAAAAGACGCGCGTCACATTGACGAACATACGTGATAACGCTTTACAACCGCATATCTGCTGCATAAAGTTCAGTATACGAAAAGTTTTGGTAGTATTTCTTACAAACTTTGCACAAATTTCATGTTTCTCTTGCTAAATTTTTGAAAGATACAAGTTGCGATGCAAATATATTGGAGAAGCGAATAAACCTAGTTCGTACACCGCGAAAGCAGAATGGATCGATTGTACTTTTGGTCTATATGCAATAAATTCAGTCTCGAAAGTTTCTGGGAAAAAAACATATGTTGCTGCGTACTTTTTGGTTGATGCAAACAAGCAATTTAATAAACAACCATCTCTTATATAACTTATTCGATCGATATTAAAACGAATTAAGCTGTTTATATCGATATAATAAGATATTCTCTGAATATTTGAATTTTATACACATATTAACATTATTCAACATTAATTTATAAAGTTGAATTATTTCGGCAGCAAATAACATGTATCAGTCGGACTAAAGATAAGCGATTGCGTAAGGTTTCTATTTTTCGATGCCACTGATGCAAACATTTCTTTTAAAAGCTATTTTTAATGAATTTGACAACAAATTAATTGTGTCTTTACACTGAAAAAAAATTGCAGATTTTAAATAAATATTTACTCCAATAAAATAAAACAGTTATGTTTAAATCGAATAAATATATGTTTACATTTAGTAAATATTTCGTTAGTACTATTGGAGTAAATATTTATTTAAAATCTGCAAATTTTTTTTCTGGTAGGCAAGACTATACATATATAAATATACATATATATACATATACATATATATAAACACACATGCATAAGTCTTTCATTCTAATTGCTTACCTTGAATATCTTATCGTAAATGACATTAACGTGGAAGATGTTGCTGTTAAAAGTTATATAGTCTGAAAGGGGATAACTAATGATAAAATCAGTTTTCGAAAAAATTGAATTTTTAAGGGGATCCTTTAGCCGTCTGTAGTTTAGCCGACTAAACCATATAATTTTGTACAACACTATTTTTTTTGTATAACAATTTATTTTTTATTTCTTTAGGATCCCCTTAAAGTGACATATAAACGTTATCATTTTTTTAAATATAATAGAATTGTATGATTTTTTTTACATAACATAATTCTTCCAGTTATTGCGCATACAAAAGGATTAAAATATAATTATCGAAAATATAATAAGTTATGACATATCTTAATTTTATTCTAGCATATTTTAATATGAAATATCTCGTAAACTATTCATTTTTTGTTGCTTCAATATTTTTGAGCCAGAATGTCATGAATCAATTGGTATAAAAAAAAAACACATAGAGAGAGAGAGAGAACGTCTCAACGTGTAGGCAGTTGCAAGAGTAAACTACCAGAAAAATTTTGTTGGTCGCTTAAATTTGGTATTGACATATTATCTACGGATACTTTGAGAGCAACAAAATTTTTTTCTAATACCTTACTCTATCGCCTGCACGTTGAAAGGTTTTTCATTATTATACTTATACTTATTTCGCAAGTAATAAATTAAAAACGTGCATATTTCGAGAACAACAAATTCAGATAATACTTTGATACCAATTTTAAACGAGCAACAAATTTTTTACTAGTGTTTTACTCTTGCACTGCTGCTTGCATGCTGAAAAGCTTTTCGTTGTTATTTACACTTTATTTTATAAATAACGAATTCGAAACTTGAATATTTTGAAAGTAACAAATTTAAACAATACCGTAGAACCAATTTTAAGACGTCTGTGAAGCTAGTACCTCCATCATTAAAAAAAAGTACGCCAGTATACCATAATTAAGTGCTGATTTATTGTTTCTAGTCCCGAATTTATTGCTCTTTTCCATTCGCAGGAAATTAATTTTAAAAGTGGGGATGACGTTACACTAATAAATTCGTAATCGGAATATTCTTAGAGTAATTAATTCTAGAAACATTTTAAGAAACTAGCCCTGCAATTAATTGTTTTAATGTACCTTACTCTCTTATAATGCGAGTTAGCACCGCTACACTTCTAGTAAGGTTTTTTTAACTTAAACAATGAACAATAAATTTAGAATCAGGATATTCTTAGAGCAATTAATTCTAGAAACATTTTAAGACCTAAACTAACCCAGCAATTAATTGTTTTAATGTACCTTACTCTTGTACGCGAGCTAGTACCGCTACATTTCTGGTGAGGTTTATTTAACTTAAATAATGAGCAATAAAAAACTTAGAATTAGGATTTTTAGAACAATTAATTTGAGCTTGACATAGTTGATTCTAAGGGTATTTTTCGATGGTTAAGGATGGGACGTCGAAATCAGATTTAATCAAAATGTCAAATAATAAAATCGAAAAGATATAATACGTCGAGATATTCAATAATTAAATGATTTTTCTGGACATGGAAAAAACATGGTACAATTAACTTAATGATGGAGCAATAAAACTGCACTGAAGATACGTTGTATTTTTTTTTAATTTAATCTTTTTCTTATGACTTCTAATTACAAACTTAATTTCACACAGCCATTGTTTTTATCAAATTAAATAAAATTGCAAATAAGGTAATAAATTAGCAATAAAAAGGCACTAAAAAATTTATGTTTATGTATTATTACGTTGCAGTTACAGTTTGATAGACGTTAATTTATATGCAGGATTTTCCGCAAGTATTAGCAGCATATTCGAATAAAATTGTACTACCACTAAATATTATAGAAATATGAATTTTTTCAAATAATTTTATTTCTCTCTCTCTCTCTCTCTTTTTCTAAAGTAAGCTGATTGATATTTGATCGTGCAAGCGTATAAACTAAAAAAAGCTTGTTTATGCTTTGATAGGAATGGAATAAAAGAGACTTTAGAATTTTTTTGTTTAATCATGCTAATTAATCGTGTTTTTACTATGTTTGTTGACTAAATCGATGAATTTAACATGGCGTTAAAATCAAGATGGAACAGGTGGACGTATGGATCGTTAAGGTCGTAGGTCGTATCCGTGCTAGTTTCCCGTAGGCGTTCGATTCGAGACGTCCCTGCGTTAACCTTGGCTCTACGTCAATGCAGGGGCGTTCTTACGATCGCCCTTGCTTGCTACGCGTAACGTCATTGTCACGAACGTCCCGCTCAAAATGTTTACGTAGAGACTTTTTCACATATTTATGCATCCTATGCAAATATTTATCTTCTAAAACAAATTATGAAAGTAACAAATTTTAATAAATGGCCCAAGAAGCACATTGACGCACATTTTTGCAATGTATGTAATTAGCCAGAGTACATTTTTATGTTTCAGGGGAAATTTAATATATTTTATTATAATTATTTTATCAAAAATTGAAAAGAAATTAAAAATAATATTGTCGAACGTAATAGTTTCAAAGCAAATATTATTAATGTAAAAAATATGGCTCAAAGATTAACACATTATTATTGAAGTACAACATTATTGAGAAAACATGTGATGTATTTATGTAATTAATTCACACGCTATGAATCGACGTACTATAGTATTTATTAATCTTTGACGGAACACTGCAGTTGATCGAATCGATCATCGGCAACTGGGATTGCTTTAAAATTCTACTTGAAATAATTTGTTGGAAGCAATTGGCTACTCGAGTATGACAAAACGCACTCTTTCGTTTGCCGTAATTATTACGTTGTCAACATGTACGGGCATGTGATATTAAGTAATACGTAAATGCAAACGCGTCACCGTGGGGGCGCGCTTTATAAATGTCGCGTGCGGCGCAAAGATGAACGATAACAACATCCCCGCAGCGGATGACGTCGGGTCATCGGTGTACTGTATGTGTAACGTGACGTGTGCACACCCGTTCTACGAATCACCGTCAGCCATAAAGGTGATAGGTAACACACTCGCGTCATACGAACTGTTACCAAGTTGGTATAATTAATTCGCACGTTCGTAAGAAAGACCCGTTGCGATATATAAAACGGCGGAGAGATCGCGGGAACGTTTATCAATGAACCGAATTTGATGCCGGAAGTTAGAAGTACATAGCTCGCGAGATTTCGTATTCTTGTCGATATACACTGAGAGAAAACGAAATAGTTCCAGCAACTATAAATTTGGCAACTTTTGCAATTGAAGTACCTGTAACTAGTTTTACAAAGTAATAGAAACTAAAGTAGTTGCTGAATATTATAAAAATATAGTCACGGTAACAAATTGTATGCACTATTAATTGGTTCTGAAATAGTGACTCAACTACATTGAGTAGTTACTTGGACTTCATGCAAATAGATATAACAATTACATTTTTCTAGTTTAGACAAAAATTTTTAAAGTGTCGCTCAGTACGAGTAGTACGCGGCTTTGTCACCAGAGGGACGTAGCGGAGTTCAGTTTCTCCTAAGAAGGAAACCACTCAGCTTACAATAAAAGGCGCAGCGTTGGTTTCAAACTTGGAAGACAAAAATAAATAAGAAATGCATACACAAATTTGTAACTATGTATTATAAAGCTTTAATAAGAACAATAAGCAAATTAAGTGAACTTATATAA